CCAGCAGGTCACTCTTGGTGCCACACAAGTAGATCTTACAGCCCTGGAGTAGAAGACAAGGTGAGGGTCACCCCCCTCGGACCACCAGTTCCCCAACCCGTCTCGTCTTTCGGTGAGGTCAGGCCACCTACCTCCTCTAGGTTGCGCAGTTCCTTCACCCAGAACTTTGCTCGTTCAAAGCTGCTGCTGTCCGTCAGGTCTTGGTGTGGGACACGCAGGAAACACAACCAAGGGTCAGAAGCTGTTCTGTAAGGCCAGCCTGGCACCCTCCCCTTCTTGTTTGAGAAACAGGCCAAAACCATCCTTACCATAGCAGACGATGGCAGCCTTGGCGCCCCGATAGTAGATTCGGCTCATGGCCTCATAGCGCTCAGAGCCTGCTGTGTCCTGAAGGGCAGGGGGAGGCTCAGCCCTGGCCTGAGTTGCTGAGCTACTCCCCAAAACTGCAAACTAATGCCACGTTCTCCAGACCCCGTTTTTAAACTGTGGTCTAGAGAACAGAAATGGCCTCTGTGAGGCCACAAGTCAGCCAGTAATAGGCAGGACCTACGCCTCCTCAGGAATGGGTTTTCCCAGGACTTGCCCAGAGAACTTACCCAAATACCCAAAGTCACTGTCCGGTCTCCGACGGACATCACCTTGGCCACGAAGGCGGCCCCAATGGTCTGCAACCAAGGGGAAGCAATCAGGGCCTCGGATGCGGGTTAGCCCCCTCCCACCCGTGCTGGGCCGCGTCGGGCGCACTCACGTTCTGATAGGGCCCCACCAGGAAGCGATCGTGCACGTATCGCTCCACCAGGCTCGTCTTGCCCACGTACTCCTTGCCCAGCATCACCACCTTGACGTCCACACGCTGCCCGCTCATGCTCCCGGGGCTGCCTCACCCGCTTCAGGGTCCTGAGCGGGGGCGGGAGGCAAACCGGATCTCCACTCCGGCAGGCAGCGCCCGAGCCTCAGTCCCCGACCCCAGGCGCCAATCTAAGGCTCCAGACGCCGCGACGATACTGAGCTACAGCAACGCCTCCGTCCGTCCCCGCTCTTCGGCCCCGGGTGCTGATCCTCCTTCTGAGAGCCCAGGACCCGGGGCGGCCTGGGAGCGTGCGGGGAAGCGCACTCAACGCCGGCGTCCGGGTCGCTCGCTCGCTCCGTTACTCGCTTGCCCGTCCGGCTTAGGGGCCGCTCCGGCACGGTTTGCCCAGCGCCTGGAAGGAGTCCCTCCAACCTGGCTCCGGCCCGGAGCACCGCGACTCCCGCGTGGGGGGAGGAGGTAGAGGCCGGGGAGGCGGGGCAGCCCGGTCACGTGGGCAGGCGCCGGAAGAGGTGGGCAGTGCGCGGCTGCGCCGGAAGTGGCGCGCGGCCAGACAAATCCTCATGGCGGTGATGGAGGCTATTTGGGTGCGGCGCTGGAGTGACTGAGCTGCTAGCTTGGCGGCCGAGCGTCGAGCTCCAGCCCGGCCTCCGCGTGCCCCCCGGGCTCCGCACCCCTGATGTTGCGCGGGCACTGAGCCCGCCCGGCCTGGACAATGGTGAAGTATTTCCTGGGCCAGAGCGTGCTCCGGAGTTCCTGGGACCAAGTGTTCGCTGCCTTTTGGCAGCGGTACCCGAATCCCTATAGGTACGTGGCCCTGGAAAGAGCAACCCTCCCACCTCGCTGTTTGGAGATCGGAGTGTGGGGGCCGGGAAAGACTCGACTTCGAGTGGGGGGATCGCCGGAGCCGTGGCCACGTTTAGGACGAGAGGACCTATCGGGGAAGCGGCCAGGCTAGTACTGGAAGGAGGTTGGGTCTGGGCAGTAGTTTACTTGAGGCCCTAGTAAAAGGTTCTCTCATCTCAGGGTGGTGAGACAGGAAGAGGCGGCGGCACCGGAGCTGGGGAGGGATCTTGGGGTTGGAAATCCGGGCGCTTGTCTACTTCTCTGCCATGACGCTCTCCAGTGGTGCAATAAATCATGAAGTCCAGCCCTGCTGGAAGGCCTAGGAATCCAGGTCAGCGAGGAGGCGGGAGTTGGAATTTGCCCTGGGTTAGGCTCAAGGGACTCTAGTTCAGGTCTGAGCCACAACACAGATCACTCTGCAAGTTTGGGGAAAGGCATGGCCATTCTGGGCCTGGAGGCTCCAGATGGGAACCCCAACAGGCAGTCTCTTAGGGCCAGGCTCCTGAAGGTCACCTTCACCCTGACACCTGCAGCAAACATGTCTTGACGGAAGACATAGTGCACCGGGAGGTGACCCCTGACCAGAAGCTCCTGTCCCGGCGACTCCTGACCAAGACGAACAGGATGCCCCGCTGGGCTGAGCGACTATTTCCTGCCAATGTTGCTCACTCAGTGTACATCCTGGAGGATTCTATTGTGGACCCACAGAACCAGACCATGACCACCTTCACCTGGAACATCAACCATGCCCGGCTGATGGTGAGACCCCTCCCTCTTGGTTCCCCCAGAACTAGAGAGCTCCAGGTACATGTGGCTAGGGAGCCATGAGGGAGCTTCTATGATCCAAGCAGATCTGAGGAGTGTTGGCTCTAGAGTACAAACTCAGATGATCTCTTCAGCTGGTCATCTTCTCTGGACCTGTTTTGACTCATTCATACAGTGGTGGAGGGGTTACCTGTTTTACAGAGTCGTTGTAAGTACTAAATGCAGAGCACTCACACTGTGCCTGGCATGTGTGTAGATTGGGCCACAGGCATGATGCTGAGGGATGGAGGGAGGCAGTGGTTTTCAAACAGGAATCTGTCAAGCCATAAAGGGTATCTTGCATGTACCTTAGGCGGGGGCGGGGGGGGAATCTGGGCCCCTTGCCCCAGTTTGACTAGAGTCTTTTATCTGTCCTATGTAGTGGATTTCTGCCTGAGATTTCAGGGGAAAAGGGTTCCACATACCTTTGCTTTAAAAAAAATTAAAAAGGCTTGAAAACCCATGGTTTGGTTTAAGGGACATCCTACAGTATCTTCCCACTTGTGAGTACCCTAAAAGCTTCCAGAGAACTGTTATTTTCTTTCTCAGTTAATCTTCACAATAACACAGGGAGGTGGGTATTACTCTCTATTGTGCAAAGAGGAAAGTGAAGTCCAGAGAGGGGAAGTCACAGAGTGAGTAGGCAGCTTAATGCTCTGCCCCTGAGTTATCTGAGGGCCTCACAGCTGACTGCCCTGAGGGCACTACAGCTGTGTTTTGTAAATTACAAAGAAAAGATCCAGCTCTAAGAAATGTCTTTCAGTCCAGCTGTGACAGGTGTCTTAAGTGTTTCTCTTGGAAGTACAGGTCCACTTTCTCCTCTCTGATAGTGAGCTGCGGTGGTTGCCGGATTTTTCTTTTTTCTTTTTTTGGATTGCCAGGAGCTCAAGGGCCAAAGTGGGTGGAAGCCAGGTTGAAAACACCACACATGTCTAGATGTAAAGGTACAAAACATCCAGGATGGAGCTGGAAGGCCCTCCGCTGATCTCAAGAGTCCATGTACCTTTTCGTTTGAAGGGTCAGAAGAAGAGTTTTTTAGAGAGCAAAGTGACTTTTTTTTCCATCTTCTTACTCTCTTCCCAAAGTGCAGCTTGGAAACACAGTAAGGGAAAGGAATCGGTTTTCATTTTATTGCTTTCCCTAGTGAAAAGAGGCAGGGAATCAAATTTATGTGCAAGCTGGCAAAGTGAAGGACTGCCACACAATTTTGGTTGGCTTGACTGCCTGCACAGGTGGTAGAGGAACGATGTGTTTACCGTGTGAACTCTGATAACAGCGGCTGGACCGAAATCTGCCGGGAAGCCTGGGTCTCCTCTAGCTTGTTCGGTGTCTCCAGAGCTGTCCAGGTGAGCAGTGTTGTTGTGGTGCTGGGGCTCTGGGACCCCAGCAGAGTCCGGGCTGGGGTTCAGTGGGCAGCTCAGAATCCTTCCTGTTCTCATCTTTTGCCAGGAATTTGGTCTCGCCCGGTTCAAAAGCAACGTGACCAAGACTATGAAGGGTTTTGAATACATCTTGGCCAAGCTGCAAGGTGAGGGCTCTGCACACAGGCAGAGGCTGAGTCAAGTCCTAACTGCCCTGCCTGGGCTGGAGCCTGGAGCTGTCACCACCCTACTCTGCGCAACTCACCTGTACCCTGGGTATTTCCTTCAGGGCCTGGTGCACAGGAGATGAATGTCCTGGGAGGTGATTTAGGTGGGTCTTGGCATTCTTTGAAACCAGTCCCCACCCTTTGCTCCAGGTGAAGCCCCTCCCAAAACCCTTGTTGAAACAGCCAAGGAAGCCAAGGAGAAGGCCAAGGAAACGGCACTGGCAGCTACAGAGAAGGCCAAGGACCTTGCCAGCAAGGCAGCCACCAAGAAGCAGCAGCAGCAGCAGCAGCAGTTTGTGTAGCCAGCCCAGGCCCTGGGGCCGCAGCACAGCAGACCACTTGCTCCAGTCCCTGTGCTCTTTCCTCCTTGTACTTTATTATTAAAAGTCAGCTTCCAGCCCTGTCTACTGTCTGGGTGGTGGGTTGGGGGTCGGTGTGTTGTTTGGCCTCTCCAGCACACCAGGCCATTACCCATGTCTGAGCTGGGCCTGCTTATTCCTGCATCAGGTGGCTGAAGATAGAGATACAGTGACTTGCCCAGGGTCACGTCCAGGTGAAGTGGTCATAAATGCTAGACTGTAAGCTCCATGAGGGCAGGGACCTTTGTTTTATTTTCTGATGTGTCCCAAGTACCTGAAACAAAATCTTGCACATAACAGGCACTCAATAAATACTTGTTGAATTCAGTCGGCCCCAGCTCTGGAGTCAGAAAGCTTTGGTTCAAATCTTGACTCAACTGTTTCCTGGCTTTGGACCTCAGGCAGGTCATGTCACTCAGCCTCAGTCCCACTGTGACAGACAGGGACTGAGGCCTCCGAGTTGTGAGGAGTAAAGGGGCACTGCCCGGTGTGGACAGCAGTGTTTGTGGTGGCTATGGATCTCATTTCCTCTTTTCCAGTTTGTCTGTGGCTGGGAGTTCCCCCATTCTCACCAGGCAAGACCATGGACAGGAAGTTAAGAAAGAGGCTTTTAATGAAAATATAGTATGTGGAGGGCAAAGGCCAGGGGCCCTTGTTTAGGAAGGAACATGAGGACCCAAGAGGCTTCCTGCCCCTGTGGACAGCAGAGCCAAGTGCTACAAAAAACGCCTGGAAGGGTGACCTGGGCCCAAGCTGCCTGCCCTGCAGGGCTCAGGGGGGCTCGGCACCCCGTCCTAGGTGGGACTGCCAGCAGCAAGGTACGGGGAGCACCTGTTCCCACACGGTCCTTTTAGTCCATTCCAACAGTACTCTGAGCAGCCCTGGAGGCTTGGTGAGGGCTCCAGCCTGGCAGAGCAGAGAGTGGGCTGAGGGCAGAGGTCGCTCCAGGAGGCGAGGGTCATAGCCAGGTGCTGCTGCTGTGTGAGTAGCTGTGCTCCTGGCCTGCGCTGAAGCCCTGCAGCAGCTCAGCCTCGCCCCCGAACACCAGGCTCTCCACGTCCACATCCAGCTCCTCTGCACGGGGAGCAGGCCAGTCAGGGGACCTGGGCCACTCAGCCCACTCGACCCCTCCGCTTGAGGGCACTTACCTTGGTCTGAGTCAGAGCGCTCAGAGGAGAGGCCTGAGGAGTCCAGGCTGTCTGCTCGCAGCCGCTCGCGCTCACCCGCCCCGGCCAGCCCCCGGAGCTGCTCCAGCTGCTGCCGCAGGCTCTGCTGCTTGCTGCGCAGCTTCTCCTTGAGCCGTCGGGCCCGCTGCTCCTGCTCCTCCAGCTTCTGCAGATCCGAGGGAGCAAGGGGCTGGAGTCAGCTACCTGGGGTTTCGGGCCTCACCCCAACACCACTCAACGGCGGACCGTGGCCACGTGGTGACTGCTTGCTCCACACGGGCTCACTAGATCTGGGCCCCAGAGGGTTGCTCCCACATCCTACAGGAAGCTAGGCCCTCCTGCCCTTCTGTCCCATGTAAATGGCCCAGGAATTCTGTCCAGATGGGTGGGGAAGGGAGGGCACCACAATCTCAAAGGCCCTCGGGGCCCAGTCAAGTGATGTGAAGGAGTGGAGTGTCTGGTGTCAGGCAACAGGGACTGCGTGGGACTGGGGCACACCAGTGAGTGCATACTAAGGCTCGAGGCAGTGGCCCAGGCCAATTACTGCCACATGGAAACAGGCCCAGTGTTGCCAGATCTCCCAGTTTTTTAAAGAGAAGCAGGGAGATCACATTTTTTCATGTCAAATGTCCTTTTAAGTGCTGCCAACTAATTTAAATTTTTAGAAAACTACAGACCAAACAAAGGCTACCAGTTTGTAACTCCTCAAGACCCTCCCAGGAGTCCTAAGTCTTCAGCATTAGTCCCCTTCTGCTGCCCCCACGCAAGCTCTGCCAGCCCTGAGTTCCAGGGACTGGAGGACCAAGGGTTCTCCCATCAGGGTCCTCAATGGACGGAAGCCTGCACTCAGTCAGCAAGAAGGGGAGAATTGGGTGAGGGGGCATTTGGACTGGGAGTAGATGAATGAATAAGAGCTGCCCAGGCAAAGATAGGGGAGGAAGAAGCAGCCAGGCAGAGGGAAAATGGGAAAAGCATGGAGAGTTCAGCTTTTTTGGTGAGGAATGGGGAAAGATGAAACCAGTGGCAAGGCCTGTGTTGTGAAGGGCCTTGAGTTTCACAAGAAGAAAGAAACTAAAACTGTCCTGTCAGGAGCCATGGAAGGTTTTCAGCAGG